TTAAATCAACAGGTCAAATGTGGCCCTAAGTGTTTTGGTTGACTGGAGATATTTAGATAATGCTTTGGCTATTTGATATTTTATTTGTGACGAGAGGTCTCTTCCCCTAATATGTACTCCGTATTAAAAGGCACTTTGAGAGTGATAAGTATTTCATTTAAATTAATTCTGCCACTATGATGTATGAAGCAGTGAAGGAGGTAGTGTTCAACTGTCTGGAACATGGCAGTGGATGAAAAGTTCAATTACGTCTGTTTTGTGTTTATAACTACGGCTGCTAGTTTGGTCTAAGATCTCTGTTAGCACATCATTTTGAATGACGTGCTCACACATTTTGTGAACACCATTGATAGAGTTATCTCTGCATTCTGCGATTTTTTTCGAAATTATATACTGACGTAAAGTATGTGAATAGTCCTGTTGACAGGATTTACACTTAGTCAAATCTACATCAGTAGATGATGCAAACTCCCAGAGGTACTTGTAGCCAAGCCTAAGCCTAGCAGTGGACGATTGATAACGTTCGATTATTTCTTGAACACTAACGAGCCTGGCCTGAGGACGGGTTGCAGATACAGGGGGATGGTTTAACGAGCATTTGACATTTGTTGATGAGGACGGGCTGGAGGGAGAAAAGAAAAACTTCGAATGGAATGATTTGTGATTCATAAATAAAGTGTTTTTCATTCGAAAAACAAGAGGTTTAGCGGCTGGATTAACAGGTATTTGGCTCTTGTTTGTGATGAGGGGCTGCATAAGCGCCTAACATTATGTTTGTTATCATGAAAGCTTTTGAAATCGAACTGAAAATTTGTAAACATGATGTTGATAATTGCGCTTTAAAATATTTCCCAACACCTTCCTCGTACGTTGGGACTATGCTTGACTGTTAGTGGGGTCGTGGGCGTGCGTGTTCATGGGGGCGTGGGCGTGCGTGTTTCTGGGGTCGTGGGCGTGCGTGTTCATGGGGTCATGGGCGTGCGTGTTCATGGGGTCGTGGGCGTGCGTGTTCATGTGGTCGTGGGCGTGCGTGTTCATGTGGTCGTGGGCGTGCGTGTTCATGTGGTCGTGGGCGTGCGTGTTCATGGGGTCGTGGGCGTGCGTGTTCATGTGGTCGTGGGCGTGCGTGTTCACGGGGTCGTGGGCGTGCGTGTTCATGGGGTCGTGGGCGTGCGTGTTCATGGGGTCGTGGGCGTGCGTGTTCATGGGGACGTGGGCGTGCGTGGCAGCTGACTATAGTTCCATAACAACCAGTTCCTCTTTAACAGTCAAAATCACTCTATTAGTCAGTGCCACTGTGAGGGGCGGTACGGATATTCAGATGTCACTCTGGATGGCACTGGTGGCACCCCAGTTAATAATGCCACCCCCTGTGTGTGTGTGTGTGTGTGTGTGTGTGTGTGTGTGTGTGTGTGTGTGTGTGTGTGCACTCACCTGTACGTGCTTACTGGGTGAGCCTGAGCTCTTGAGCCCCGCCTTCTAGATCTCTGTATTGAATTAAATCGGTAATGCGATAATAGCTCAAAATTATGTATATTTAGCCTCATATATCTTATTATCTGAAGGAGAGAGAGAGAGACAGACAATAATAGACACAGATGCCATGCATGGCAATAATTAAAAAGCATGAACAAATTTATGAATATTACAATTAATTTACATTTGCAAATATTGAAAAAATGTATAACTTAGGTTGGAAATTAGAAGCAAGAAACTGCTCAATTATGAATGACCAGCCGCTAGGAACTTGGCCTAATTGCTGTATTCACAGCCGAACTTTGCACCGAACTCTTTTATCCAAAAATAAACACTCGCAGATTCATGTAAATTAAAATAAACAGACGTGGTATTTGCAACAGTAATTAAATTCTTTCAACAGTTTTTTCATAACGAATTTTACCTATTGGAAAAAAATAGTAAATTTATGATATATTTGCCGACATGTTTTTCACAGCTGCCTGTTAACAACTGGCTGAAATTGGCTCGTGTGTAGCGCTTCTGCTATGTCTAATCACCTATTGCAGCTGAACCTGCTGATTATTTCGGTGTTGCTGGTGATTTTCTAGCTACATGTAACAATTATGCATTTTAGTTACACATAGAAATAGATTATTCAATAAAGATTGCAGTATCTGTGATCGCTCTCTCTAGGTAGTGCACACACACACACACACACACACACACACACACACACACACACACACACACACACACACACACACACACACACACACACACACACACACACACACACGCACACACTCGTTCTAATCAAATTTTAATAACCAAAAAGGAGAAAGACCTGGGAGTAGACATAACCTCAAATCAGATACCAGCAATAAAATAACAACAGCAACATATGGCATACTGGCCAACATTGCTGTATCCTTCAGAAATTTAGACAATAGTTATTTTTTAAGCCGTATACAAAGTAAAGTGAGACCCACTCTTAAGCATGCATCCCCAGCATGCTTAAGGAAAAAAGAAAAACTAGAAAATGTTCTTTTTAGAATCTAGATTTTCTAGATTTTTTAAATCTAGAAAAACTAGAAACCCAAGGAAAAACTAGAAAATGTCCAAAGACATCCAACGAGGCTTGTTCGTGTGCTGAAGGGATTGAGCTATGAGGAAAACTAAGAGAACTAGACACAGCAGGAAAGAACACCTTACCACACTGGTGGACAGGAGAGATAGGGGGGACATGATAAAAGTAAAAGATTCTAAGGAAATTGACAAAGCAGCATTATTCAGAGCTAGGAACTGCAGAACGAGGGTTATAAATGGAAACTATAGACACAGTCACAGAAATGTCAGAAAATAATTCGTTGTTAGAGCAATCAATAAGTAGAATAGGCACGACGCAGAAATCGTTGAAACTCGATTAAAACTTTGAAATGTAACTATGATAAAAGGCGGAGAACCGGATTATTTCATTTTAATCAAAGAATATTCGGAAACGGAGCAAGTAGCCTAACTCAACGCAGCAAGCACATCTGTGTAAGTACATCTAGGCCAATACACACACACACACACACACACACACACACACACACACAATAAGAGCAATAACCCTCACCCTTTGTATGTCCGAGCGCTATTAAGTCACTAGAAATATCAGGCTGCATATGGTATGTATTAATGCTAGATGGAATAGTGAAATTGGTCATCCTTTCCTTTTGAGCAACGAACTGATTAATTTTGGCTGACAGACTCGGCGGCGTTGGGTTGGTTGGCGCGCGCTGAGAGCCGGGCTTTACCAGAGCAATAATGCTTTAGAAGCTTGTAATCATTTTAATTAAGTCCATTTGCAGCAGCTTTCATCGGCAGAACAGCGAACCACTCACCAGGACCATAGACCACACTCACCAGGACCACAGACCACATTCACCAGGACCATAGACCGTTCACCAGGACCACAAAACCAACTAGACATAGTCCCCAGTTGATATTGAATACTGGCAATGAATGTCTTGCCGGAGCCTCACGTTCAGAGCTGAATATGAATGGTTACTAACGCCACACGCTGAATTATATTGCAGATTTTGCCCCAGGAGGCAAGTCACAAGAGTCGTCAGGTGTTCAGTGTTCAGAGAGGATCAGGTTAAGGCGGGTAGAAATAGCCTAAGCTACTCTGTTCCTTTGGGATGTATTTTCTTGTCTCAATAAACATACTTGAACTTGAGGAATCAGGTATAAGGTAACATTCTCAAACATCTCGTCTTTTGTGGTTCATATAATTTACTTACTATAAAATTTCACTTGTTAATTTTTCTTTCAGAAATGTACCAAATATTAATTGTCATATAATGGTGAAATAATGTGGAACTGGAGTGTAGTGGCTGTTGGAGCAATGTTCACGAGAATTTTTCAGTGGGGATTAGGGGCTCACTCATTCTCTATATACGAGGTAATGCCATGATCTGTGTATGTGCATTTACTATTTGTATCTGCAGAATCGAACTACTAGCTCTTGGACACCGCCTTTCTAACGAATTTATTTTTTTCTGTATTATGTCTACTACACCTATTTCTCTCTAACACACACACATATATTCCGAGGAAGCAGTCCGTAGCAACTGTCAAACTCCCAGGTACCTATTAACTTCTAGGTGAACAGGAGCACCAAGGTGAAAAACTGCCCATCTGCCAGAGTCCTAACCCGGGCCCCTTAGGACTACGACCCTAAAGCGCTGTCTACTCAACCGCAAGGCTCCCTGTATTAACCTTGTTGTGCTTGCGGGGGTGAAATCACCTCGTGTGAGGAGTGTCCAACAAGATTACCTTCCCCCCCTCTTCTTTCCTTCTTGAGTCATTGAAATCATCACCAAAAGTCTGTCTCATGACGATGGCACCATAGAGGTCTATAGATTCCCTCTTGGAGGACATCTGGAAAATTAGCGAACGATGAAACAATCTAGGCCTCTCCTAAACTCATACAAGGGTGAAATAGTCTCTAGCTCAAGGACGGGACCATAAATAGAATAAATCGACTAATGGAATTCCAACAATAAGGTGCAGGTCTCTGTTCCACTATGTGCCTATGAGTTAATCTTTGTAATCTAACTAGACACATTTTCAATTTCCTATTTAGGGTATAGAAAAGCAAGTAAGGCTTTCAAAGGGCCAGCAGTCGATGTAGTAAAAGTATGAATGGGAGATTTGTAGAATTTATGTCAAGTATTGAAGGAAATAGTGATCATGGTAGTCTTGTATTGATGGAACATCAGTCTCTACCTAAAAGCTCTGGCTTGAAGAAAAACTAAAGGCTCCTGAGATAAGGTACAAGCCAGTACGATGCAAAGCCTGAAGACAACAAATTTTGAGGGCAAAGCTGACAAATATGCATGAATCCAAAGCTCAGTTTAGACAATACTCGGCAATACACATGGAGAAGTTTTCCCTCTATCCACACTCCAGAAGAAATGCATCATGATTAAGTATACAAAAACAAGTGGATATCAAAAATCATTCCTATGAGAAAAGTGGAATAAAAAAATAAAGAAAAATCTAGCCTTTATTATTAAAATCAAAGTACAGTAGTACATAAATGTTATACAGTCCATACAGTTTGATTTTATGTACAAAATATCAAGGATATTTTAAATCATGATCTAAATCAAGTTTTGTTATCATGCATAGAGTATTACCTCAAAGGTAGTTAAGTGAGTAAATAGCCCCTTTCTATTTCATTTTGAGTCAAAAGAAGACTGCCTAGATTCTAGCAAGTACAAAGAAAACATTGAGACATTGTATGCTAAGAAGCATACAACTGAACACAAATTACAGTACAGTACCTTAGAGGGATCAGAACCTCTCTCCAGCAGTTTGAGATAACTTGGCTGAACTGCATCACATCACAACAGTTTTCCTTTCAAGACAATACAAGTGAATAACAGGATCAGAATTATGACCAACTTCCCATTACTTGTTCCGAATTTGTTAATAAATAGGAGACAATCCCGTATGAAATTAAAAATTTAATTATCACTAGAATAAGAGGTTACTGAATGCCTACGAATGACTAATCTTATACAAAATCTATGAGCAAATCATTGATTTTCATATTTAATGAAGCTTATCTAGGCCTGTCTACATTCTATAAGCCTTGGGGAATGTAGCAAGGCAATCAGCACACAACCCTATCTACATCATCTGATCTCAGCACACAACATATCTCTGTTGATATATCTTATTTGCATATTATTTCACAGTTCAACTTATTATTTGCTTTATACCTAAATATCGCACTTTTATCACTCAAATACAGTACTAATGTGGCTTTATCTACACACACAAATCCCAAATTGATCAACTTTTATTATTAAAACCATTCCTCGGGATATTTTGAAATAATAATCTTTCCTACCCACATTTACATAGCAAACACTATAAAGGGTCTTTTCTCCAATATACAAAATGTATTGCTCCTACTTCTAAATAGCATCCAATATATAAATTTTCATTGGGTTTAGGAAAAATTTGCCTACCATTCTGAATTCTTTCCAAAACCTGAACTAATATTTCCCATCACACTCGTTCATAAATGATGACAAGAAATTTAACATTCCTCCAATTCAAATCTTCGTACAGGTTGGATTTTGGGGATAGAGTTAAAACACTGAAAAATTAACAAAGATGACTTTACAGACAATTGTTTTTATCTGAACATTCATATTTTATATTAACACCTCCATTTTCCAAGTAATTTTTTTTTTTCTGCATGGCAACCACATTTACTTTTTGTTACCAGTTTCCTGGATACTTTCATCACTTAGTTTCTCTGGTATAATTTCTTTGCTCATCACTTGCATATTCAAATACTTAAAAATCTCAAGTTTTTTTCCCCACTCTTCACCAAAACTGCCACAATATAATTCTCTTAAGCATTAGTCAATAAATCAAACCATAGACTATTAGTTAGGAATACAATGATTACATTGCTATAATCACGAAGAACAAAGATTATTAGAAATTGAACATAGTACTTGTCACTAAACCTTGACTTGATGATTAGCGATGGCACAATCTCGTCTACAATTAACGCATAATGTGAAATGCTTATTTAAATAGCTATCCAATCAGCCTTCATTGTCTACCTTTCATTGTGTTACTGGTGGTAAGTGACTTGCCAAAATGGTACTAGTAGTTATTTAAGACATTTTCAAATACCCAAAACTGAAGATTGCAGTTTATTCTAGATTTAAAACTAGTTAAGGAAAACTTTGGCAAAACAAAGAACAAGGATCTAATAAAGTACAGTACAGTATATGCGCAATTAGAGGTGTTCACTCACATAACATTCACTCAAGAAACCATATCAATGGTGCAAACACATGCTGAAGGCATTGAATATTCCAAAACTAGCAGACAAGAGAGAAAACACACACACACAAAAAAATAGAGGCATTATAATCATGATACAGTATACAAAAGTGCCAAAAATGTAAACAATTTATAAGGATTTTATATTTTAGATTTGCAATATCGAGAAAGTGAGATCAGATCAGGAATAAAGTATTGAACAAATAAATACACAACTCCTTTTGCAAACAGCGGCAGATGAATGGATGGACAAAATTATGAGAGGGAAGTGTTAGCCAAACCAATGGAAACTATAAACCAATGGTTTGGCAAGGCCATGGTTATAGGGAAAATGAGGCACCACGAGCACAACTCTCACTCTGGAACTATACTTGGATAATTACACTCTTAGACACCCAACCCACACATCTGAATTAAGCAGCAACATTTCAGTCTGTACTGGACAATTATCAAGTAGTGTGACTTAAAAATGGTGCAGAATAGAGCAAAACTTGCCACTTCCTGTATTTTCAGATGTTCAGATGTGTGTAGGCTAGTTGTCTAATTTTCAGCCATGTTATTATGGCTTACTGTCTACACAATTATACTCACTCAGACTTTATATTTCAAGAATGGTAAATTCATCTCTATTTTTCTCCAAAAAGGGAAAACCAATAATTTGAAAAGGCTAAAACTAATCTCATTAAATGAAAGTGTATATGAGGAAGCCACAAAATTGGCAAGAGAGGGGGAAATGAAAACTTTTGGAGATTAGTGTACAACTAATGAGAATTAGGCAAAAACAACTCAGTACTGTACCCATCAGTGCCTTCAGAGACCACGCTTTGATTTTCAGATCTCTACCTCATAACTAATCCATGGTTCATATATATACCTCCCAATGTTCTTAGTACTCTCATCCTTCTTGTTGTATGCAGATGTCATTAGTCAATGACCACCAATGAGAAGAAAAGGGGCTTTTTACTATTCCTATTACTTAACTTCTATGACACACAAAACTTGAGCTCTGACTAAAATAATTGCAGTAAGTTTCTGAAAGAAAAAAGCATGAACAAAGAAATAATTAAACTCTAATTTTCCAAAATGCTTCGAAATATACGACTCAATGTGAAGTGTACTGAACAATTAAAAGCTCATTAGTAAGTAGAGAAATAATAAGTCCCAAATAAACCAAGATGAAAAAGTGTATTGCAGAAAAATTGATTAAACTAAGAAGTTTCATATACATAAGTTGAATAAAACCATGTACTCCAAAGAAACTTAAAAGTAAAAACATGTTATGAATTTATAAGTTTTCCTATACAATTTATGTACAATATAATGAAATAAATACATGCCTAAGAGTATATACATTTTAATAGTCAGGCAATGAAGAGTTTGCAATGACCACTGACCATTTTTGAGAACATCACAAGCTGCCTATCATACTAGTCATTCCAAGAAGAAATATAACAAAATAAACCATTTATATTTGCAGTTTCTAGCTAAATTTTGTAATACAAAATGCAATTAACAAACGATTTACTCTATTTTCCACACTGCCTTTCTCATTCACAGGACCACGAGGGAGCCACATAGATTACACTGACAATTATTTAACTTTAATTCTATACACAGTTAAGTAAATACAATATACAACGAGTCTTGAAAAAGTCTTGGAACTTCCACAGTGGCAAAATATCAACTACAATGTACAAAATATATGTCCAAGCTTTATACACATGGAAACAGAAGAAAATGATGCAATAACATATTCCAGCGAAACTCTTACAAAGATCACCGAAACTTATCGGGGCTAACAGCACCCTTGGATGATGAAAACCTTAATTAATTGTGGTCTAGTTTCACGACTAACAATGAAAAGAAGTTATTAATCTACATGAAAATGCTCTCAGAAAAAATTGGTGCAAGGAGAACTATCCCTTCAGGAATGCTGACCCATAAACACGACATTATGCCTATTACACCTTCAATATGCTATAACCTCTCAATTACATAGAAATTATTACTATACAGTATAATTTCCCATTCCAAAATACTCGTAACATTGTTTCAAATTTCAATATTTAATCATCACGGCGACTAATACTAAGCACTTCATGTGTGTGTGATAGAGGCAAACAAGAGCAGAGGCCCCCAATATAACACGTGGCCAGCTCTGCACAACTTGCGAATAATGTTGACCAAACCACACACTAGAAAGTGAAGGGACGACGACGTTTTGATCCGTCCTGGACCATTCTCAAGTCGATTGTTAATCGATTGCGAGTCAAAACTCAATCGACTTGAGAATGGTCCAGGACGGACCGGAATGGCGTCGTCCCTTCACTTTTTAGTGTGTGGTTTGGTCAACATATTTCAGCCACGTTATTGTGACTCTTCGTCTGCATGTGAATAATGCCGTCACTAACATTTGGCTGCAGGTAAAAGCCTTCTCTCATTGATCTAGACATACACAATATTACCCTCAACTATATATCCTTGCATTAGACACACCATCAATGGATTCCTTGTAATGTTGATTATTGGCTAGTTTTATATAGGCATAAAGAAAGGGACTTTCAAGTGTTGATAATAAGTGGTATATACAAAAAATACTCATTACAGGCTCATAAAATATAAATTTGTAAGGATTAACATTTAAGCCAAACAAAATTTCATAAGGAAATACTTTACAATGAACTCCTTGTACCGTACTTATACTATAAAAATAGCTATGATAAAGAGCTAGTGGAACTACTTGCATTACAAGGCTAGGAAACACTATCTTCAGATAGCATTCTGTTCATTATCTAGCAATTAATTAAATCTTACACTTTCAAAGCAAATTTTCATTCTTCAACACTTGAAAGTTTAATGCATTAGCATCTAGCAATAAAATAATTGCTCAATGTGGCAACCAAACGTTACCTCACAATTGTATAATCATAACAGAAGAGTGAAAACGAGCCAAAAATAATATTAACATTAAATATTAAGGGTCGTCTGACTAAATCAATTAGGAAAAACAACTATATTCTCCAAACACTTGAAGAAATCAAAAGTTGTTAGATATATTCCATAGTTTATAGTAGCGGCTGCTGCGCAGTTTGCGGCTGGGAATAGATAGGGAAAGTGTTTGGTGGTCCATTTGAATGCTCAAGGGGCCCACCAGGGTGAGCAGTGGGCAGTGGTCCATATTGACTAGTTGGAGGGAAATGTCCATAACTTGGCATCAAGCTGGCTCCTGAGGCATCATGACTGAAAATAGAATGCCAGTTACAACAGGGAGCCAGTGACCTGCATTACAGAACATGAAAACATTGTCAAAGTCATACCGAGGGAGGACACCAAATCAGGAACTGGATAAGAACACGAGACTATCTGCAGAAACTCCAATAAAAAATTAACTAAGGGGGAGAACACAACATGAGATATAGCAATGGAATTTGTAGCAAAATTATGTACAGAGGCAATGGAACCATTCATTCCACTTAGGAAGGAAATTCACAAATGCAGTAAAAGTCTGTGGTTCAATCAGCAGTGTACCAAAACTAAAGGCAAAGCCAGAAAAGCTCTAGAAAGTTGTTGTGTTCTAGACTCTGTAGGCAGCCACCATCTGATATACCTCTTCCTTCTTTTTTATGACCCATTGCATTGTCTTTTATAGATCCTTTGGAATGTGCACCGAGGCCCCCCATGGGTGTTACCATTGTGGGTTGGGTGTTGGCTTTCTGAGGTACTATATTAGGTTCCTGCTATTGTTCGGTGTTAACCTTTTAAGTTCTCCTTGGATGTTCATCTAGATGCTTCATTCTGAGCTCGCATTGGCTTGGTTTCTAGCCTTATTAATCCATTAATAATTTAAGCCTTCAATAATCAAGGAAGCCAAAAACATAAAATATACAACAATAACAGCAGCAAAGATGCTGCTCGTGAATTATCTACAACGTTAGAGATGTATTAATGATGAAAGTATTGGTTACATAAATAGGGTTAATCATAAGCCTAGGAGAGGATAGAGCTGGCAGTAGATGAACTGTGGTAAATGATAAAAAAAGAGGAAAATAAGTAACACAGAGTCCAAAAAAGAATATTACAGATTTTCACTGGAAAAATAAGAAAAGTACAATTAACCCTTAAAGTGCAACTATCATAAAAGGTGCCAATGGCTGTGTGTGAAGTTTGGAAAAACTAACATAACATTGAGTAAATTATCACATGTAAATTACCATTTAATTTTACTGACCTATTTATAGGCATCTGTTGAAAATCTGCAGGTGGAGGAATAGGTTGCCCTAGTGGTGGCTGTGGACCTGGCATGGAGGGGCCATGAGTTGGCTGGCTGTGCAAAGCTTGATTGGGTGCAGGCATGGAACCCATTTGCTGCTGGGATGGTGGTCCTGGTGCTGATCCAGAGGGAGGCATGTTTGGGAAAGGCACAGGTCCAAGTGGAGCACCAGGTGGGGGTGGACCCATGTAAGAACCAAACTGGCCTGGTCCTACATACATCTGAAAGACATTGCCATTCATGTTATTTGAAGTGATTTTCAAAATAAGTTGCTACCACGATATATTTCAATGAGTCTGATTTTAAACATTAAAGCCCCCAGACCCAGAACCAAGATAGAGCACACACTCTTGTGTTCAAGGTAATTTAACAAACCATTTGAATGCTACTAGGCTAACCTTGGCATTTGCTCGAATCAGAATTTTTTGTACTTTACTGCATTAATAAGCCTGAAATTATACATAAAATCATTATATTAATTTATTTGGTAATATTAATAAAATTTAATAACTGACTTCATTTTAATTTTCCATCACAAAATTTGCTCCAAAATACATCTTATTTTTCCCAGATCCATAACAAAATATTGCAGGTACTTCATTGCTCTTCAAGTACCTGTTCTTGTAATGCCATTTTTGACTTGACTGTTCATGGAGTAATTATGACCAAGAGCATTGCTTCTGACTGGGCTGCTCTGGGAGCGCTACTCCTGAATTTTTCTCCCTGGATGTTCCCATCTTCTCAATTTCTCAAAAGTTGAGTATTTATTTATTCATGATCATCATCCTGAAATGCAGAATGAACCCCTCCCCCCATTGTCTCTTCATGACATCATGTGTATAGTGAGTATATAGTGTCTTTAGTGTATCCCTCAGTTCACTTGTTATTATTGTTCAAGAACCTGACACTTAAGGCATTAGTTTGCAGTGAACAATGTGTAATGAAAGAGTTGACGACTATGTTGACAAGTACTAAGCCTTCATAACCTAGGTTTCTATAAATATTTCTTTTATTTACCTTAAACTGTTTTCGTTACAACCATGCTTGTTTAAGTGACAACGACGATGATGATAATTCAGTGTTTTTCAATTTGGCTACCAAAGAAAAATGCATATATTTACACTGGTCCCATCTTGCCCTAGATGTAGACAAGTTACACACGATGAAACCCGTAGGAACCAACACGCACAGATGGGTGACCGTAATGGTGGGCATAACACTACGTACACAACACAATAAGTAGAGCATCATCTGTCTATAATTGCAGTGGTATTTAGATAGCCAGCATCATGGAAAGTGAGGGATTCATACTTAAACACAGCTGCTTGGAAGCTTCAGGTATGGCCACCCTCTAGGGTATGTTCCATGAGGAATAAGACAGTGTTATGGTTTACCTATACAAGTATTCAGAAATGAATACAGTACTTCTATAGATAATGTATAACAAATTAAATTATTCCTATTTTAGTTTATGCAGTTTGCTCATATGTTAAAAGCCACTCTCTCTCTTTTAACCAGTAAACTGAACACATAGTTAAAATATCCTGGTGTGCATAACAAAATTACAAATTAATTTTGACTTTCTATATCTTAAAACATTGCTTATTGATGTTTGGAAAACAAAATAAAACTACAAATATCAATTTGGCCATAATGAGGTGAAGAAATGCTGATCAGGTCATATTTTGATGGATATTTTTCATGTTAACTATAAGATATTCATAATCATTAAGATTGTCCAGGTGCATAAAGTCCTTGGAATTCTGCATGGCATCAAACGTTCCTAGCACGGGCCTCAGTCAATGGGTGGTGATGTGCCAGACATGGTGCTCATCTTTTAACTAAGGCCCAGGAATGAAACTAAGACTTTCAAGGTTTTCTTCTAATATGGTATGTAATTGCCAGAGGTCTCTAGTGTCGAATGGTGTTCACAGAGAATAAGTGGAACTTTTGCATACCATAGAGCACGTGAGATTGTGAACAAGTGCCTACTGCTTGATAGCAATGGTAGTAATTTAATGAGGGGGGTTAATAGCTACCAATGGGAATAAATAATTAAAAAGTAAGCAATAATCCATCTGAAAAAGAGGAGTGCTGCAAAGTAAGACACCAATGTTCATTAAATCATACAAGCAATGTGACTGTATACCTGTGGTGGCATGCTTGGTGTTGGCGACTGTGCATACCCAGGCATTTGACCTGAAGCATTTACTGGGTTCTTTGGTATGGGATAGTATCCACTCATTGCAGGTGGCATTTCACGCATCAGCTGAAACAGAGCAAGGAAACAGGTTACGAATTATGCCCAATATAATAAAAACACGAGAGAGGGGCATTCTCACTTTAGGTGGCTTCAGGCTAATACTGCAACTTTAAAAATTGTTACATTAACATTACTTTGAATTTCAGTTTATATAAAAGTGTAAATCAATGAGGGCCAGTTAGAGACCTGGCTGAAGGGACATTGATCCTCAGAACCAACTCTAGATATGGCACAGCAGAAGTGTTCTGAGAACTTTGACCTCGAGGTAAACAAGCTCAAGCAAATTCTTCTCAACAATGACGGCACCAATACAACCTAGACTCCACCGTTTAAAAAAAAAAAAAAAAAAAAAAAAGACTATGAACACCAACCCCCTTCACTAGGCATGGCATTTGTAATTACCAAATAGTATAGTATAAATAGTATAGCCAGTGACTACTAAGAAGAGAAAATCACATTGAAAGACATCATAAAGTATTCTTAAAAAAAAATTAGGCATCTAGCCTATTTATGAGAACCAACATGTCTCATGATCCCCAAACCTCTGACAAAATATATAGCATTGAATGCAATGAAATGCCTCTTTCTGAGCAGCTCCTCATTAACATTCCTGAGGTTAGCACAAATATCCCAAGGTCTAATCACTAGCAAGCTCCTGAGACTTACAAAGACCTACTGGGAGCCTTGACCAGAATCTGGTCCTCATGCTGAGCAAAAGAGAATAAGGATCAAAGAAAGATCCAAAATGAAGGAAACCACCCAAAATATGACAGGAAAACAAAACAAACCACTGCTCTTAAGAAGGGTTACAAAATTAATAAACATGGCAAATATCATTGACAACTGTGAATGACCTTTGCCACAAATGAACTATCCCTCGGGGCCTCGTAGCCTGGTGGATAGCGCGCAGGACTCGTAATTCTGTGGCGCGGGTTCGATTCCCGCACGAGGCAGAAACAAATGGGCAAAGTTTCTTTCACCCTGAATGCCCCTGTTACCTAGCAGTAAATAGGTACCTGGGAGTTAGTCAGCTGTCACGGGCTGCTTCCTGGGGGTGGAGGCCTGGTCGAGGACCGGGCCGCGGGGACACTAAAGCCCCGAAATCATCTCAAGATAACCTCCCCCACCAGATGTCAGCTCAGGTCACTCGGGATATCAGGTCACAACTTGCTTCACTAACATGCCACCCAGAAAGACTGCAGAGCTACACAAGGAAGACAATGCTTACAGGGCAAGAATGGGAAGTTACCGAAGAGTGACCCAGGAAGGTGTATTGTCTTGTATTCTACACTTTATTTCTGTGTAATAAATAAATAAATAATTTTTTGTAAATTAATGATTAATATAAGAAATAGTTGCAAAAACAGCACTATCAACTTACTTGGTGATACAAGCCTAGAGCATCCACTAAGTCAGTACTGATTCGGGCTAGCAGCGCATGTTTACGGTCAATCTGCTCTAGTTCAGCATCAATCGTTGGAGCCATGGCATTCACTTGCTCTGAATCAAGATAAAATCCACTTGTAAATTTTTTTAAGAAAATACAAAATAACAGATTAACATTGTTTGGCAAGTGTAGAGTAGGCAAATGTGTTCCACAGATATTTACATTTTTTAACATTAAAAGAAATACTATCTAGTGTAAACCTATTTATCTGGAATAAATTATGCATAATGTGAATTCAATATTTGCCCCTCAATACTGTACTTACAAATTACTGTACTTATATACTACAGTACTGAAAGCTGTAAATTATTTAAATAATCAGAATTAAAAAGAATCATTATAATATAAGAAAACAAATTAGTACAGAAGTGAGATTATTGGTCATATATAATTTCAAAACTGATAAGACACCAATGTAACTAATCAAGAAGTCTCCAAATAATTGACAATGTTTCTTTTTCAAGTTGTAGACCATAGTCCCTTTTTCCATACATGTGGAATTATTTTGATCAAATTCGTTATGACTGTCTATCCTCCCATTAAAAATAAAATAAAATGGAGGTTGACCACAAACCTCATCATTTGTCAAGACACACCTGTACATCGGTCAAATATCCAAACATTTTAGTTTGGGGAAAATCTTGGACTTACTGAAGTGATGTAATAAAGACCCTCACCATTGGCTGACATAGTCTGACCATAGTCTGTCAAACCAACAGACTGTGGACATTTTCTTAGCATTCAAAGAAATTGTATTAGCATAACTTACCTTCAAGAATAGAAAGCTCAGTTGGATCAGGTCGTTCTCCAGTGGGATCGGCTTCATGCAAAACATGGAGGAGTCTATCAATCTTCTCTTCGTCAATTTCCCCAGTCACTTCTGCAGCTTCTAGAATATCTTCACTGCCGGCTCCTTCCACCTCAGTAACTTCTACACATTCTGAGAATGACACTCTCTTTCCACACTCTGTTCCTATGGATTGGAGAAAAAATATAAGATGCACATTAAAAATATACAATAAAATTTGTAAATGGGATCATATAGTCCTGTAATATACATTTTTAAGTATTTTACAACTACACAATTTTTTGTTATTTTTTCCCCCCTATGTTTTTTTTAGTGAATTTATGTCCATTCTATAGTATGGAGACCAAAACTGAAAATGTCCAATCAATAGGCACCTCTCCCTTCTACCAAGCTATTTGGAAAACATGAAACATTATGTTCACCATCACCCCATCCCCACCCCCCTGCCTTTAGATCTCAGTACACTTGTACTTATTACAAACCACCTGAAAAATTAAGCTTCACACTTACTTGCTGATTCGGATTCAACATTGAGATCCAGGGTAACAAAGTTTGCAGGGAAGAGTCCTTCTCCCCTGTGATTTGTTCCTTTCCACCAGTTCGGGTCACTGCTGTCCTGGACTATAACTGCAAAAAGTGTGAAATAAATAAGATAATTACATATATAAAATGTTATAAATAACACAAGAGATATTAGGTGGCCTATCATTGTGACTCAATTTTGAGACAAGTTCCTTGGTTGCTCCCCAAGCCTGTAATTATTACTGGCACTGGCATCCAGCCACACATCCCTTATTATCCACAGTGTAATTCTCTAGTTTACCTCTATGTCATGCCATAGTTTAAGGACCCTAACACTTGGCACTTTTCCCCCTGATAATTCTCTCTCTATCCAATGGTGAAGGCACTAAATGTTTTTTTAGACTGGTGATCAAATACAGAAACTTGAATTTAGATTTGCATTTATATACATTTGTTTGCACATGACAATTTTTCCAAGAATAAAATTTGTGGAAAAAAAAAATTCAAAATGATACACAGAAAATAATTATCATGATCAACATACTGAATAAGAATAATCTACCTATTTCTCCAGCTTTGAAGGTAAGTTCATTGTCTTCAGCTGCTTCAAAATCATAGAGAGCTCGAGCTTTCTGATGCTCCTTAGCTGGAGATGAACTGCTGGCAATTGTTGAGTCTGTGTCAGCATTGAGGGCAGCTGTGGCAGTGGAGTAAAGACTGTTGGAAATGGGACGAGAAGATTGCTGAGAGCTAGGAGTACCATTCCCTCCTGACTCCTGTAGCGACAACTGAATGGCTCGAGCTATATCGTCTTCTTCTTGTTTGCTGTTTACCACATTAGGGTCTGTGCTATACTTTGGTGCAACTTTTTTAGGCTGAAATAGACTCAATAGACTTTAGAACATTCATATGTCTAAGATGCTGTCTTATGGAAGCTAGCAACACAATACTGTATGGAAATTACATTTATAATGATTTAAACTGTAGTCTAAAATGAGGAAGAAAGCACTGGTACATATGAAGAAACTTCATCAATCTACATAACCTTAGATATCCCTATATTCAAGAGTACAGCAACTAATCAAACAAATATCACCCCTATCACTTCAATACAAACTTGCCCTGAAAGCACCCATAGATTTTGTTCCCCTACCAGTCAAGGTAACAACTTTACTGTAATGTAATAATTTTATCTTCAGCATAATGAAAAAAAAATCGGAATATAACACCTGCACGAGTAGAATATGCAGGTGCTGGATGCTCAAGGGGCATGCGTAATGCAGTTTAAGATATCCCTGCTCTACATTATCAGCACTTTGTGCTCTGATCAACCACTGTAAAGCATTACCAAGTTATGATTACGTGTTGCCTGATTGTATTCGACAAATCAAATTTCTAGAAAAATATGCGGTTATTTTACAACTACAGGGTATGAAAAAAATTTGTAATCAGCAAAGACTCAGTAATACAATAGATTTAAGTGCACATAAAAAAACAAATACCTGTAGGTCATAAGCCACTGTGATTTACTTCAGGTGATAATCCCACATCATTTCTATTAAAAGTGTGCTTCAAATTATGTGACCAATGTTGTTTGTTCAACTGAAAAGCTCATATAAACACAAAAAACTGAACACTAGCTAATACAATAAACACAGTATTACCGAATCTGACTGCACATTGAAGTCGTAACCTTCTTGCTTAAGCTTTGTATACAGAGCTGGAATGAGACTAAGCTGAGGGTCACCTTTAAATTCACTTTCAGCCCACTTCCTCAAACTTTCTCGAAGTCTTTCAGAAACCTGAAAAGAAAATAGTATTACGTAACTATTAAGCACTGAAAACAACAATAATACAAATTTATGATAAATAAAATTAATAAAATGTTAAAAATAAGCAGAGCATAGATTATAGGAATATGTTACACAAGTCAGCAAGATGAGTTGATTGACAGTACAAACCAAATAGCAATTAATACTGTTCCTGTATTTAATCAGCTTAAAAACTCCATCTGATGAAGTAAATAACTTATTATTTATCTCTTTAATTGTATAACCTTGCTGACTTCTCTATCTAAGACATTGTTAGAATCAAACACTTCAATCATGTGATACTCGAGTAGTTTCATCGATTTTTCTTTTGATACACCATTATTTGCGAGATGAAGCCATGTCGTGCAGCCATGTCATACCCACCCAACAGGCAGCAAAAGGGATCCAGTATAAATGACCATCAGCATGTAGCACAACCAATGAACATCCCTGGAACTCGCAAGTAACGAGTCCGGGTTCGATGGGTTGGTCAATGATGATCCATACCAAAAATCCATGGGGCTTGCCAGGGACTGAAAGGAGACCAAGCAGGGCACCCAGGGAGAACAGAAGCCAAGCTTTGGCCCCTGGTCTCCATTAGGCTTTTAAGGACTTGCAAGGGTTAACAGTGAGGAGCTATCTTAAGTGTGGTTAGCTACAGTGGGGCCACCATTCAGCCCCTTCAGAAAAAGCAAAGGCAGCAGATCATACAGTTCATGAATAAAATGAAGAGCAGTGATGGAAAGTGACATATAAACACTGAAACCTTCTAAGCAGGAGGATTTGGATGATGCTGTTTACAAATGATTTATGCAGCACTGCAGCCTGGGGCTGGCTGTGGGTGGTGAATAGTTAGTCTGCAGTCAAGAGAATGGTATTAGTCATGGACACTGAGGACTTCCAGGCCAGCTCAGGGTGACTGCAAAATTTTAAAAGATTGCATAACAGTATTGCAACTACATTTTGCTGCCTCTTATGTTACCACCACCACCAGCCTGTGCTACAAAAAGGCAAGTGAACACTTTTTTTTTATGCATAATTATTTATATGCACATAAAATCATTATTTATATATTATTTATGTATATGTATATATATACATTATATATATATATACATATATATACATTATATATATATATATATACAGTATATATATATATATATTTTTTTTTTTTTTTTTTTTTTTTTTTTTTTAAATGGAAGGGAGTACCACCTCTAGCTGGAAGAAGGGGGACCCATAGCCTCGGAGGAAACCACGCATAACCATAATTATATATATAAAATATATATATATATATATATTTTTGTATATACTGTATATATATATATATATATATATATATATATATATATATAATATATATATATATATATATATATATATATATATATATATATTTATTTATTTTATCACTTACTATAAAAAAGTATCCCTAAAATTTTGGGATATATAGAAAACAAAATTAAAATCCTCATTTCATGTAAATCTGTATTGCATCCAGAATGACAAATTCCAAATTTTGGAGATAAGGTAATTATGAAGAGAAACCGGGGTAAGTGCCAAACCACTTGCACCATTGGGGATCGAACGCTGACCCTGCAAGACTAAAGGTCGTCGCTCTACCGACCAGTCCAAGTGGTTGGACTCCGAATTTTACAGGTGCCATTGAGGTGTCACTGAACAATCAATCAGTGAATATTAATAAAGTATATGGATACAAAATCTTCAAGTTTCAGACAAAATGTGTCTGAAACTACTCATTAAATAGAACAAATGACTTCCATTATCATATTTAAACATTTATACATGAAATGTATGACAATAAAATGAAATAACTCATTTGAAGACAGTACATTACTGTATTTACCTTATGATGTGTACGTGTACTAGTCAGATGTTTCCGAAGTTCTTGCTCAAAATCTCTACTCGCTACTTCCAGAAGAAATTTGCGGCCACAGTTGTTGATGCAGGCATCTAGAAGCTGAGAGGTAATCCGACGTTAAATTTGTTCAGATACTGTATAATGAATTAGTATACATGATGAAAAAATATATTGTACCTAGGGTTTAAATCCCCATTGTCTGGATCAGGAAGCTTGTACTTAGACTTACTGATGTCCCCTAGATCAACTACAAACCATCCCCAGGATGCAACTAACAGTAGTGGCCTAACTCCTGGCTACCTATTTACTGCTAGGTGAATAGGAGCATCAGACAGAAGGAAATGCACTCAACTGTTTATTAATGCCCAGGGACTGAACCCAGGATTCTTAATTGTAAGTAGAGAATGTAGTAATGTATAGCATTATTGTATATAAAATATTGCTAGATATAATAACTTAAAATCATACACTGCCCTCCATCACATTATGTTAAAAACTAACAAAAGCTGACAATAAGTATTACTGTAGTGTATGTAGATAAGGAAAATTCTAACAATAGAAAAAGGTACCCATTTTGCTTTACTCAGATCATGCCCTTATGAATAAATGAGGCCAAAAAGTTTATTACCACATTGCATTCCAAATACTGTACTTTACTGAACTTCTTAAATAGATGTCAATCTCATATTTAAAACATAAGTAAAAATAAAGAGTTAATATAATAAGCCCCTTTCTGGGTTGCATCGCGGTAGCTCCCCTCAGCTTACATCGCTGGCACCCTGTAGGACTATGACAATGCCAGGTTTCCAGTAACAATCTCTGCACACCTGGGACAAGCATCACCTTCGATTGCCTCTACTCTGCAGCTAGGGAGCTCATCGGGATCAAAGATCAACCCTTTATCGATATGAGCAGCCTGTGTAAAGGCTGTAATGTGTAAAGGGACACCACAAACAAAACCCGCCTATAAATTTTTGGGAACCATTAATTACCAAACACCTCTCTGAATAGTAATATACCAACTAATCTGACTCGTCTAACCCCCACTAGATGGTGACCCTAGCTATCCGAGGGTTGGTTTGAGCAAGTCCTTACATGCTCTAGCTCCAATGCACCCCTAGACATGGGTAACAGCAATACAACAACAGAAGACAAAGCCCCGTGCCAGGTCAGAAGCAGCTTTGAAAAAGTTGAATAATACACTTAGGCATCAGAGTAATCCCAAAACATCCAAACAGGAAAGAGACACCAAATCATTGCCAGGCTTCACCGAGTTGAATGGCTTAGCTCTGAAGCCGACACGGCCAACAAGTAGAGATAACGATACAAGGCTGCCAAGCACCTGCGGCCCAGAAGAGAAGACCAAACAAGGACCAGAAAGGGAAATGTGTAGAGCCCATCCCTTAAACCACACCTAAAAATTGTGGAGGAACATAAACATGCCAAGAAGCACGCCACTTGGTGATGGATGGCAATTGTGATCAGACTGTTAACTAGCAATTGGTAGTTAGCAGGTGCAGAGCATTTCTTGGCTGCCTCTGTTCCAAGTATTGCTTGGATATTTGAGTGTACAGGAAAGTAACTTTTAATGGTCCTTCAGGGCTGGATTTAGAACCCAGTGTCACAGGCAGAGTCAACTAAGATGCACTGTGAAACCCACTCATTGCATATTTCAGCAAACACCAGAACATTAATTACTTATTTAAAGGCAAAATACTTACTGTTACTGCCTGTAAAACAATTCTGGGGTTTTCTGAATTAAGCCTTTTTGCTATGGACTTCAGACAATCTCTTGGGCCGACATTGCTTTCTTTTACACGGTCACATATGTCCATTATTTGTCCCCAGTCCTCGCTTGTGTTCTTTTCACTTGTAGCCTTTTCTGAAAAAAAAAATATTCCATATGAATCCAAATATCAGGTTGTCAAAGCTTCATGAAGGATGCAGGATGAAGATTCCCTCCTCTGGAATTATTTTGCAGTAGTGCACACTAAGAATATTTAAAGTGTTAGCTGCAGTTTTTATCTCCCAGGTTTCGATTCCCGGGAGGGATAAAAATTGTTGGAGAAATTTCCTTTCATCTAATGCCTCTGTTCTCCTTATAGTAAATAGGTACCCAGGAGTTAGGCAACCGTTGTGGGGATGCATTCTAGGGAAAGTCAGGTGAATGTGCTGCCTTCTGTTGCTACTGCCATATGAATGCAATGTATGGAAACTAAATGAAACATCATGCCCTCTTTTAAATACTCACCACCCAAGAATTTACTATACCTGGATTGTCTCTGGATGGGGTTCTGAGAATTGTTCTACTTCTGCTTGACTTGTGAGAACTATGACAAAAACCAACACCACCCCTTTCAAGAATAAAATAACTTTAATAAATGTTGTTCTGATCTTAGAGACAAATGTTCATTACTGTACCCGTACTGTAATCTTCAACACAAGATATAAATCTGAGCAGCTCTGGGCCTCCACAAAAACCAAACTGCATTAGTCTTGAAGACTAATAGTCTTCAAGAAAAGCTTGGCATGATGTTATAATTTTTACCAGGCATATATGTAGGCAAAATAGGTATGAGACAGGTGTGTGATAATAATACAGCTATCATATAGAAACAGATCCATGGGCACTGTACTATATGGATACAGGCCCTATAGGTTGCTATACTGTATGGATACAAGCACAGTGTATGCTGTGCTATATGAATAATAGTACAGTATAAGGAGTTGTATGCTATTTGGATATAAGGGTAAGAGGTACTCTATATTTGAACACAGGGATAAGAGGTGCTGTGCTATTTGGACATAGGGATAAGAGGTACGGTGCTATTTGAAGACAAGGATAAGAGGTGCTGAATAAAATCAGAAAAATATGGGGACCTCTAACAAGGCACTGGCTCTTTGCCCTCAACAAGACCACTAGAGAAGGGAACTATCAGGGGAGAAAGTGCCAAGTCATTACGACTATATAGCACTTGGAAGGGGTCAGGATAAGAATTTGGGATGGGAAGGGGGGAAGGAATGGTGCCCAACCACTTGGACTTTACTAGAGAGATGGTGTCCCTTAGGTAAATCAGGTAAATTTTGATTCAGAATACTGTATCATACTAAAATAATAAAGGCTTAACTTATTGAGATACAAAGTTTTGCAGTAATATAATAGCAACAGAACGAGATCACCGCAAGCCAGCACTGCACACACACATATAGCACGAATGTAATCTGATGTTGTGCATCACTGCCCATATGGGAACATCATAGGTTGCAGCACCACTCAATATGACGTATAGACATGTCCGAGCATTTTGGTTACGTTTAAAGTACACATTGAGGCGAGGGCAGGTTTGCTAAGTCAGACAGTGCTACTTCTTGATGTCATACCATGAGAATTCTTGTTACCATAATTCTTGCAAAAAACCTAGGCCTACTGTCAAGAAGTCAACCCAAAGTAATTGTGCAAAAAATGGGTAATACATTAATTCAAATTACCAAACTAAATGTATACATTTGGCAAATTTTATGTGAATATTTAAAACCAAACATACCAAAAGAAATAAAAAGTTCAACATGAGGCAGAAAACATTGACCAAGGGAAAAGTTATGTTACAACTATCATAACTTATATTTACAAAAAAGACATAAAAGAAAAAATGGCTATTATAAATATAAAAAAAACATCATTGTAATACGTCGTACCTTTAAACCAGTAGGTGTCCATATTTGCAAGGTTAGGTAAACTTACTGAAGCCTGGCCACTCTATGACCTCCCCCCTCCCTGTTGTCTATGTCTTATCTTCCTTCAAGACTCAAGGAACCTTTACTCCAAGGAGCCACACACGTCTCCCAAGATCAGTCGTCAGGTCTGGAGTGAGTCAACTGCAGGTGACAGCTCCTCCCGTCAGGCGGAAATTCACCAACTAAGATATTTCCATTCTTCCTCCGGTGACACCGCCACTTATCCGGCAGATCTTCCCGAACTAAATGAATAAACTTACCTACAACCTGGTCGAAAGGCGAGGACGCGGAAAATATCCCCATCTTTGGTAAATGTTGCATAAATTGCCACAAGGTAGCAAGGGTTTTGTTATGATCAAGTGACTGGATAAACCCCCTCGTCCCGGCCCCAGCATCAACCATATCCTCTAGATCTATTTCCTCCCAGAATAAACTACATAGCTATAATAGATTTAATATTTCATAATAAAATTACTCTCTTCAGTCTTAATGGTAATGATTTGCCTTCAAGCATAGAGAAATAATGATATGGCAACTTAAGACAGTTGTAAGAGAATCGGACAGTTGAGGCTGTAGCAGAAAGAAAGAAATCCACATCAATCATGACTTTATTATATCTTCATTACGTCTTTCATGCAGGCAGTATATATATAAGATTTTTAAAGCTTCTTTTAAAAATATAGCATTTTATTTAAGGATATATTAGGTCATATATGATTAGGTGAGAACAGGTACGTGAATACAAGACAGTATTATTGCATCGGTTTGAACATTACATTATATTAAGTGCTGAAATAATTCAGAACAACATAGAAAATGACATTTAAGCTATGTGATCATTAATAGAAAATTAATAGGTATTTCAATGTTTATTTATTTCTTGTTATTGGTTTACAGCTGACTCTTGTAAACACAAGTCATGTATCGACCACAGTTTGTTCCTCAACCAACTATTTTGTATTAAACTTTAAATGATTGGAAATGTAAGGATATTATTTTTACTTACAATATTGACATTTTCATTTGTTGGACAACCTTTTAGTATAATCATATTCAAGTTGGACATGCATTATATATACTGATATAAATTGTTTTATTCAAATAATTATCCAAATATATGTTCTTAACAGAGTGCAAATGGGCCTTGCAATGCAGTTCCTATTTATACATGTCAAACCTTTAATAATATAATAATTCCATTGATATACTACATCATTGTTAGACGAGTTGTTGTTTATTGAAGGGGCGACAATGATAAAAATAGATGATAACGCGTACTTGAATACAGTATTGCCCCAATGTATATTTGCCTGAAATCTTCCATTAGTCTTGTTATAAATAAGTACACGGATAATATTTTCGTGGAGGAATACAATAGATACATCGAGAAATGTACTTACACCAAGTTTCTGGTTACATATAGCCGAGATTAAGGAATGTGAGGATACAATTATGGTAATTACAGTCTTGTAAAGCCACTAGCACGCGCAGCGTTTCGGGCAGATTACGTTGATTCTGAATTATGTTCAGAACTAATGTATATTTGATGGTTGGTGAGTAATGTGGTGGCTTTAATAGTACTCAAGATTTTGAAAGGTTTTAATTCGAACACTAAGTCTAATAGGATTTCCGACATGCAAACATTGGCCAGGTGCGAGGAGCGAGGCGAGAAGGCGAGATCTCGCACAAACTGTGGTGAGTGTGGCGCCGCCAAGGAGGGCTCCTCCTCCTCACTAGTTATATATTTAGTTCTTAAATCACCGCCAGCCTCTGCATGGACATACCTTGAAGATTTGACTATTTGCCCATATCCAAGAATTGGTAAGTGTCATTCACATATATCACGAAATTGACGTTTCTGTACATCTTAAATTGGTATCAAAATAACCATGTCGGCCAAGTTGTGTGTGGATATGAATGTTTATATGAATTTTTAGGATTATTATGAGGTACAGTACACGATTTCGACTATTAATACTCAAGAGTAAACGCAAATGTCGCCACCTTATCACACGTGTAATGTGTGGGGTTTGTGTTTATTTACTAAAGTGGTAAAACTTGATTGAAACAACACCCCAGAACTGGAGGAGGTACAGACCAGAGGACCAACACCTGACCATCACATGATCTTAACAGACACCTCTGCTCTGAGAACTTGTAGTAAATGTGCCACTCTCAGAATTGAATCTTATGTCTTGAATATCTCTGAAAAAAGGGCAAAGTGAACCATAATTTGGTGAAATAAGACCCTGTACTTAACATACAGTATTGTAAATATATATATATTTTGATGGTCAGTAAACTAATGTGTATTAATAATAATAATAATTATTATATGTTGGATACAGGCTAATGATGTGCTACATTATTTAAATTATACTTAGAAATTATGGAAATAAATCTTGTTTTATAGCTTTGCTCATGAAAATAGGTGGAATGGAATGGAAGATATAGTTGTCATGCCTTGCATTCTGCTTATTTTTCATGCGTAGAGCTTTATAATTTGATTAATTCGTGTATACGGATACAGTGGTGGTAATCTATGACCATGATGCCTCATCCATTTCTGTATCATTTACATACACGTAATCTTGGAAATGTTGAGTACAAATAAGTGTTGCTCATAATCTCTAAGAGGTAAATGAGATTTTCTGATTTACACAAATCTTCTCTCGTGTGCAGCACCGTAAGTTCAGTTTTCAAATTGTGTTTTTCATGCATGAGATAGGCTGCAACTGCTTGTACACATGCATTACTAGGGTAGTCTTTGGTTTACACTGGAAATTTATTCACTAAAAGTATATAACCTGCTAGCTTCCAAATGATTAATGAAGCTGAACCTCATTTTGCACTGCAACAAAATTACACCACAAACCTTCTTTTGCAACAATGATTGATTTGTATAAATTTTCTTATGAAATGACTGAACTGCACCAAATGCTGCTCAATGTTGCCAGATGTAGAGCTGTTAAATCCTACACTATTGTACAGCATGAAACCTCTTATTTTCTTGTCTCGTTTTAAGGACAATTTTCAAAATCAGGTTATAAATACTGTAGTAGAATCGCAATTCAACAAACCTTGATTCGGCGAATCTCCGGTTAGAGCACACTTTCCATACCAGATTTACTCACTCGATTTGACTAACAAGGGTGCGCTGAAGCAGGGGATGTGTGAATTTGCTTTGGATGTTGAGATGAAGTTCATAGATGGAGGACTCACACAAGTCCAGCCTGGCCCCAGGCCAGGCTTAGGGAGTAGAAGAACTCCCAGAATCCCATCTAGGTACAATACAGGAGGCAACATTACAAGAAATAGATGGACCTTAGGGAAGCCACTGAACATTAGTTAAAACCAATTTCTATGGTTCTTATTTTTCCAATTGCAGAGGTTTTTGTTCAGTAAAATATGGCCCGTTTTCCTTTCAAGATGAGAGTTCAAGGCTTGGGCGTGGGAAATAAGCTAGATATGGTTAAATATTTTACATACAGGTTCTCTTGGTTGTTATCCTTTGTGACAGGTTGAAATTATGATTTTGCTCAGTGTATTCAACCCATAGAGTTTGCAAAAAAATTAGGTATGAATGGTAACACACTTAGTACAGCTCGATCACATTTTTTATTTTTTTCGTAGATGGGTACAACATTACAGAAAATAGTAAGGGGCCTTGGGAAAGTCATTAGCATTTAATAAAAAAAATGTTATTAAATGTTAAAAAATTGTTTTAAGAATTGGAAATCGTGACAAATTTCGCCCTGTTCCGATTACTAAAAATGCTTGATTTTTCAAATTCTCATTACTGATTCTAATTAATTGTCTCATCACTACTCTTTACATTTATCATATTCTTTTTTATGCTTCCTATTGTTTAGTACAGGATTGTAAATCACTGTCACCACTTTACTGTATTTATGTTCCCAACTATTATTTTTAATAAGTAATATTGTTCTTTTGCTGATTCGTTCCTCTGATAATTTTACTTCCTCAACGTGCCAGGATAGTTGTAAAAGTATGGCTGCACCACCTCCACCCTTCTGCACCCTATCTTCCCTTATTATTTGATATCCTCATGGGAAGATTGCATTTCCTATAACACTTGTCAGTTTCTTTAACATTATTGCAGTAATGTGTGACAGTTGCAGTGCTCCCCAGAGTGAAATTACCTAAGTGTAGTTACAGGATTTTTCACTAACGATATTAGCATTATAAAAAGCATTATATATAATATATATACCACAGGTTACTATGAATACCATTTCATGACATTGCAGAAATTGAGACGGTGTCCTATTCCTATTCTAGGAATAGAACAGACAAAAACAGATACGTATCGAGATAAATTTTAAATTGGATTGAAAATAAAACCTGCAACGTAAAGATCTGTTCTAAAAAATATGAAAGATCTGTTCTTTATTGTTCAGGCATATTCGGTAAGAGGCACAACAGGTTTATAAGGGGTGGGTGGAGAAGCGTCAGTACAAAGATGCCCTCTGGGTTTGACTAGCCCAGCGACCTTGAACCTGCCAACCACCTCACATTATTGCTAGCTAGACCAGACTCTCGTGTTGCATCCCTGCCAGTCTCGACCCAGCCCACCTCGCCCTCCCGCGCCCCCAATATCACCACCTCGCTTCTGCTATGCTTTATTACAGCCTAATGTTACGTCTACTGTTGCTTGTGAATAGCGCTGTCTTGTTTTTATGTATCCAAAATGTACACTTTCATATTAACTCGTTTCATCTTTAATTTTCTTAACATATTAAAACATAATTGTAATGTGTTTGAAGCTATACACAGTATAAACAACAAAGGATGAAACTAAAGTGTTTCATGTTGATTTCATTGCATCTTAGCCCCAAGAGTGGCTGGAATCATGTTACAAAAGCTTTTTGTTATATAGGACTCTCAGAGAGAGTTGATTATAACTAAGTGTCTATAAGCAGCCTGAGAATATACAAAGAATTTAAATAAAACTTAAAATCTGAGACAAGGAGACATCGCACTTTGTTTTCATCGATCACCAAGTGTAAACCCATCAAACTTATTCCCACACTATACATTACTGAATGTTTCAATGTTGAACAAACATGCATGTTGTGTCTGCGGCTGAGTGCATGCGCCCGAGGCACCCACCCACCCTACCCGCAGCGTAAAATAACCAGTTTAAAGTGTCT